TTAGACTTGTTCTCAAGTTAAGACTTTTCAGTTAACAGTGCAGACTTCTCTGAGTACCCAGGACAAGTACCACATAGCTAATCTTTAGAGTAAGTCTAGTTAGCAGTCTGAAGATGCTGTGTGAATGAGCCATGTTAATATAGCTGTTTTACTACTTTGGGTATTCATTGTCCTTGAAATACTCAGAATTGTTAAGCTCTGGAACTTAAAAGTAGTTAAAAATAGTTAAAAGGAGAGGATGAACATTTCGCTGTCAAAGGCCAAAACATTGGAGGAAATTAAAATCTGCTGGGATATCCAAGCTGAATTACAGCATTGTTCACTGAGAAGTCTAACTTTTATTATATAGATTCAGGATGGTAGAAGATAGCTTTTCCTTTTAATCTGGTGTTCAGGGACTTGTTACTCAGTCAGTAGAGGACTAAAAGCACATGGCTTGATGTTAGCCATAGAAGAGGACAGAAAATGATCTGACTTCAGTTGAAATCTCAGTTTGGAGAGATGAGGGTTGACTGATGGGGGGGGGGGGGGGGGGGAAGAAAAAATCGCAAGCTCCTGGAATGTCTATTGTAGATTATTTTTGCTTTGTTTACCACCTGCTAAGTGGCAGTAATGCCATGTTTTGAGCTGTGATTGGTAGTAATATTACTATTAGTTGTTTCAGGGATCTATTAAACTTATGTTTGGAAGGCTGAAAAGACCTTTGTTACCTGAAAAAATGTGTTTGTTTGTTTTTTTTAATATCACCTGTAATTTTTTCTAGTTGAAATTTCATTTGAATTATTAAATTGATGAATTCTTTCTAAGTTGGAATCATCTGACATAAATGCCGGCGTTGTGCTTATGGTTGTAACCTGATTGCTAGCAAATTAATTTTATAGTGTTACTGGGGTGTTCTGGAAGTACCTGGTTTGTATGGGTAAGTATAGGATATCTTCCTGCATTTCTTATTTGTAGATGGTGTTGCTCAAACTAAGGAAGCAGAAGACTCTTCACTGCATCAGCAGAAATGGTACAAAAATTCAGTCATGTTTCCTTTTATTGTGAACTGCTAAACAGGACAGTTATCCTTACTGAGATTATTTTGGCAGTAAATAGGTATTACAGGTTGAAATTGGTTGGATTATGTTTACACCAAATACTATCTTATCTGAGCTTTAAACTGTAGCTCCTACTCTTGTCTCTGCATGTTGGTATTTAATGAGATGAATTGGTTTTGTCTTTCTCTTTGTGTTAATATTCTTTGAAAAAACACAGAATAATGTAAATGTCTTCAACAGGAAATTATGGCCCATTTTAATTCTTTCAACAAATCCCTTATCCCTGTTCCTTGGTAGATAGAACAGTGTATGTTTATTTGCAGTTTCAAGGTTACACTATCATACTGTCCTTACATGAGGCAGTATGGTTTATGCCTATGGAATGCAGCATGTCTCCTGACTTGAACTATAACAGGTGTTCTGCTCCAAGGACTGGGATGGCAGTGCTGTTGTAACAGGCTGGGCTGGCATCCTGACGTGCTTTCCTGTCATTGTTCAGTCAGTCTGTTAGGGTTTGAGTATGCATACAGGTGCTGTTCATTGGCATCCTGGTGTGAGAATCTTGGCTGTAGTTAAGGCAGCTTACTTTCTGGTTTTGGACTAACTCCAATTAAACTTTATCGTAGTTTCCATCCAAAAATAAAATGGTTTGAAAATGAAGAGGCTGTTACAGTGAAGGTTCAAATAGCAAGGATAGCTGACTACAAATGTGAATTCTCTAAGGAAAAGGTAATTTTCAGGTAAGTTTAAGAAATTTAAGTTTAATAAACACAAAGTTCAGCTGTTGGCTTGCATTTAATATTTTTAATTCCTCTTTTTATAATATAGTGCCTGCTCAGAAGGCAGATTTTACTTGGCCGATATGGAACTGTATCAGTGTATACTTACAGAAAAGTCTGCGTGTGTGATTAAGGATAAAGAGGCTATTATTGTCCTCAGAAAAGAGAAAAAAGGAGCATGGTGCAAGTTACTAAAGAACAAGGTGAAGTGGAAATTAACTTGAGAATCACTGAATGTTCCCAACATGCTATCTGTTTTTAAATTCAGATATTTCAGACTTCTTTTTGTTAACAGAATCCTCACGTGTCTTTTGACTTTGAATACTGGGAAGATGATGAAGACAAAGGCCCTTTTCCAGTTGGTAAGGAATGAACAAATAAGTTCTTATCGTGCATGAAATAATTTGCATCCAGATTTGTTACCTGCATTTTATTTAAAATGCTGAGTTATTTCATATACATAACTCTCGTTTGACTCGAGAGAACCTCTACTAGCAAACCACAGACAGTGGTTTTTTTCTGTCAGAGTAGCATAGAAAGAAAGCATTTTAGTCCAGTGTCTTGTAGTGTTTTTGTCTAGTCTGTAGCCAGAAGGGCTTCTTATATTTGTTTTGAAGCTCTTAGTTTGTCTTGCTTTATGAGTATTACACTTTGTTAATTACTTCTAGGTACTAAAAAGCTGCATTGCACTGCTGCAGTGACAGAAGAACTGGTTGACTTTTCAGAAGACAGTGGTGCAGAAAGTGATGAGTAATTGGGAAATGTCTGTTTTTTGTTTCTGTTAAGGTTAATATTGTAAAGTAGTATCTGTTGCACTCCCAAAATTGATGGAACTAAATGTATAGATTGCAGAATTGCCTTTAATTTTAGGAGGATGATGGTAAGCAAAGACCTTACTTGGGTTCTAAGCATCTGGAGAAATACTCTACATGATAACTTCATATATATGTATTCCAGTGTCTTTACTTCAGAACTTTTGGCTTTAATGATTTTGTGCAAATATGTACATGTATTTACGTTGAAGAGCTTCTAATTTACCTTTCTGAGTTTGCTGTGGTAGCAGTAGATAATTTTTTTTTTGTGGTTTAATAAGTTCTGATGAGCGGTTGATTGTTTCTACCACAAGCCTCCATGTGCATACAGCATCAGCTTTGTAACTGCCTGTTTGTCAGCTCTGCATAAATAAATTCAGATGGCAATCTTCCTTTGACTGCAAATACTTTGACTTGTT